GCCTGCCTGGGCCAGGCCCAGCCCCGGGGGCTGTGCGTTCGTCCCCCGCCAGTTAAGGGGCAGAGAAAGGAGTCCACTCAAAAGCTTGCGCGTGCACACCCTGCTCAGAGCAGCAGCGTTCACAACAGGCAGAAGGCGGAGACAAAGCAGACGCCATCGGCGGAGGGATGGCTGAACAGAACGAGTCCCTCCCTACAACAGAAGGTTCTCCAGCCTCAAAAAGGAAGGGGCCCAGCCGGGCGGCTCAGTGGTTGAGCGTTGACCTGTGAGCCAGGAGGTCACCGTTCAGCTCCTGGTCAGGGCACATGCATCCCCAGTGAGGGGCGTGCAGGAGGCGGCCGATCCATGACCCTCTCTCATCACGGGTGTTCCTATCTACCTCTCCCTCCCCCTTCCTCTCTGAAATCAGTAAACATATTTTTTTAAAAAGGAAGGGAATTCTCATGGGCTCAGTGCGATCCAGCCAGACGCAAACGGACACACACTGGACGGCTCCACTCTCTGAGGCGCCGGACAGAAGGGAGAGCGGGGGGCGGGGGATGCTGGTGCTGGGTGAACACAGTGTGCGGACTCCAAACCCCTGAACTGCACCCGGGAATGGCGACCAGGGCGCACTCCATCTTGTCTGCCTGGCCCCACCCCCCACTTGTCCCGGGTACCCTGCTGGGCCTTGAGGAGGTGGAGGTGGGGGAGACACATGACCAATCCCTGCCCCCCAGGACTGGGAGGGGGGCAGGAGAGGACCAGTGGGTAAGGAGTGATGGAGGCAGAGTCTGGCCGGCTCCGAGGAAGTGTGGGCATCCTGGGAGGCAGGGCAGGAGGGGAGGCAGGGAGAGCAGGTGCAGAGGTGTCCACAGGGACTCGCCCAGGGTCCTGGGAAAGGCAGACAGGGGGCCGTGGGGGAGGCCATGGCCAGATCTGGGCGCCTGCGAGGCAAGTGAAGAATCGGAAGAGGATCTGGGGCAACCACAGTGACGGGGGGAAGGGCGGGAGCTAGAGCAGCAGGTCAGGAAGGGGGCCTGTGGGATCAGCTGCCGGGGGCGGAGGCAGCCTTCTCATCGGCCTCAAGGAGAGGAGGCGCAGGCATGGAGGTCAGCGGGAGGTGGGGCTGACTGGAGGACACACGGACAGGAGGGGACCACCCTCTGCCCAGCCCGGGCCCACTGCCCGGAGGTCGAGAGGCTGGGAATGAATTCCTCCAGGTGGGGGTCAGCCAGGGTGGCAGCCAGGCTGGGTGGGGGAGGGGCTCCTGCACCCCAAGGGCTGGGCGGTGGCTCCCCCTGGGCTGGCACAAGGCTTCCCTGCCCCACACCAGCACCCTCCACCTGGGGTGGGGTCCCCGTCTCCCCCAAACCCCCCCCTCCTTCCGTGGTCTGTCTGACTCACATTCTTGCCGCGGTCCTGGCTGGGTTCCTCCGGCGCCAGCTCGCCGATCAGCAGGGGCTTCAAGAACTTGCGCACAAAATCAAGGTCACGGTGGAAGGCGCGGAAGGCATCCTGGTGAACAAGGGGTGAGTGGTGAGTGGAGACCCCAACCTCAGCCTGCACCCCTACCTGGGAGGGCAGGACTCACCAGCAACCCTGTGTGCCTCCCACTAACTGGCCCCAAAAGCGCCCTCAGGCCTCACCCAGGGCAGATCCCTCAGTGCCCGGCTCCCCCCACGGTGCCACCTGGGCCTCTGCCTGGACGAGGGGCCGCTGAGCTCGCCAAGGATGTCCCCCTGGGCAGGGCCCTCCAGGGACATGCAGGGAGCGGTCACCGGGCTGGGCAGGGCCGGGGAAGGAAGGACGTGGCCTCGGGCTCCTCTGCTGGGTGCCTGGGACCCCGCGAAGTGGGCCACCCACAACCCCCCACGTGGCCACCAGTGAGAGGAGCAAGGTGGAGACGGCACGGCGAGGAAAAGGTGCCAGGAGACGACGGGAAACCAGAGCAGACGCAGACGCGGTACGCGCACGGCTGACAGAAGCTTTTTCATCGTTTGAAAAGGCATTTAACTTAACCACGAGAAGGGTTTTGACGGGAGTGGCGGCATTAGGGCTGGCTTTATTTTCATTACTTCCCAGGCTTTCTCGAACACTGCTATGTTGCTTTTACAATTAAAATAGTGTTATGCATTTTAATGTTTTTCTCCATTATTAAGGAATAATTGCGTAATTTTGGCAAATTTAGAGAAAGGACAGAACCGAGAGGAGAACGCCATCCAATGGGTGGCCACGGCTGCTAGCATGCTAGCATGTTTCCTTCCGGGGTTTTCTCCACACGCTGCGTACATTTCATAACTTAGCTCCCGACAAACATAGCGTCTGCCGCGGAGACGAGTGCCCCCAGGCCCCCCGATGGGCTGAGTGTGAAGCCCCAGTGGTAACCACAGTCACCCGCACGGCACCAGCCCTGCAGCACTGCCGGGGCAGGAACAAGTCCAGCGACACCACGAGAAACAATCGGGGAAATCAAGGCAGCGAGAGAAAAAGTGAGAGACAGTGTGTCTGTGTGGGTGGTGGTGGTGGTGGATGTCTAGATTAAAAGAGACTCAAAAAGATATAAAAGCTGCACTGCTTGCCCTGGCCTGGCAGCTCAGGTGACACATATAAGAAGCAACCAACAAATGCATCAATAAGTGGAACAACAAATTGATGTTTCTCTCTCTCCCTCAATCCTATATAATAAAAGGCTAATAAGCAAATCGACCAAATGGCAGAATGACAGGTTGCTATGACGTGCACTGACCACCAGGGGTCAGATGCTCAGTGCAGGAGCTGCCCCCTAGTGGTCAGTGCCCTCCCACAGGGGGAGCACCGCTCAGCCAGAAGCCGGTCTCATGGCTGGTGAGCACAGCAGCGGTGGTGGGAGTCTCTCCCACCTCTGTGACAGCACTAAGGATGTCCGACTGCTGGCTTAGGCCCGCTCCCCATGGGCCTAAGCCATCAGTCAGACATCCCCCAAGGGCTCCTGGACTGCAAGAGGGCACAGGCTGGGCTGAGGGAGCCCCCCACCCCACCCCGTGCACGAATTTTGTGCACCGGGCCTCTAGTAAAATAATAATAATTTTTAAAAAACTGCAATGCAGGGGGGAGAGGGGAGGACCCAGCAGTTACACAAGCCACTTTTTGGGCTGAATGAGAAAATATGAACACGGACGGGATACCTGATCGTATGAAAGAATTATTAACTTTCTTAAACGTGGCAACGGCACTGTGAGTGTGTTAGAGACTGTCCCAGGTCTTAGAAGACCGTGACGAGGCGCACGGCACAACTTATTCTCCTGGGACTCGGCAAAAGGAATCGCACACGCATCGGGAGGGAGAAAGAAAGCCCCCGTGCCCAAAGCTAAATCCGCGAATCTCCTGTTCACTTATTCCTTCAACTTCTCTGTAGGTTTAGAAATGTTCAAATTAAGAAAAATGGGGGGAAACGGGGAAAATGCCGACAAGACATGACCTTGTCGGTTTTCCCTCGCCAACCCTCTGGTGTCCCCCCATGGTCACTGCCAGTCTCCTCCCACTTCCCCGGCACCCCTGGCGCCCAGTCCCGCTGCCTGGTCTTTGTTCTATTTGAGTCTAGAACAGACTCACAAAGCAGCACTGTGTGCAGAGGGAAACGGGCCCGGAGCTTGTAAAAAGGTCTGTGCTCGCCCTGGCTGGACGGCCAAGGGAGGCGGCGGAGATCCGACGACGCACATGTTCAGAGGGGAGCCTGATACTCTTCCAGGACCCCGGGCGGGCGGTGAGGGGGCTGCGGTCCGGTCCGGACCAGCTGTGCCCACTCTGGGCCAGCCGTCACCCCTCCCCAGCCCAGGCCTCAGCCTCCTCTGCAAAGGGGGGGCCTCCCAGCTGCCAG